TCCATCCCTTGGCTCCCTTCCCTCCCCCCTCCTGCTCCTCTTCAGCCCCCCAAGGACTGAAGCCTGGGTAGGGCCAGGGCGCAGGACAGCCCCTCAGATGAGGTCAGCAACATTGAGGGGCATCTCCTCAATGGAGGTGTTGTAGAAGGTCTCGATGTCTCGAAGTGTCCTCTTGTCTTCTTCTGTCACCATGTTGATAGCCACACCCTTACGGCCAAATCGTCCACCGCGACCAATTCTGGCGGAAAACAGGGCGCCTCGGTAGGTAGGGTGAAGAGAAGGGGGGCCGGCGGGGGGGGGAGCCGCAGCACAGGGAGAGGGGAGGCCACGTTCCGGAGCCACACTTACCTGTGGATGTAGTTTTCCCTGTTGGTGGGAAGGTCGTAGTTGATGACTAAGGAAACCTGCTGGACGTCAATGCCTCTGGCCTGGGGCAAAGGAGAGGACGGGTCAGCGTGTGAACAAGAGGTGAGCAAGGGAAAAGAGGAGCACAGTATCGGTGCAGGAGGGACTGGAGCGTGGTGTAGGCAGCCGAAGGCAGGCAAAGGAAACAAACCTCCCCTCCCCCAATGGCCTGAGGCTTGCCAGGTTCTGTTCCAAGCTGCTACTTTCCTGAAGAGGGGCACGAGCAGGCCCCTTGGAGAGGGAATCACCTTGGATTTTCCCTTCTTCCTTCCCAGTCTTCTCCCGAGTCCACTCTACTCACCAGTAGGTCAGTGGTGATCAATACTCTGCTAGAGCCAGAGCGGAACTCCCTCATGATAACGTCTCGCTCCTTTTGGTCCATGTCTCCGTGCTGGAACAGGAAACGGAGGGTGCGTCCTGAGGACCGGTGGTGAGCAGGGCGCGGACGCACGCGCTGCCGGTAGCCGGGTGGAGAGAACTCACCATCGCGGACACGGTGAAGTCTCGGGCGTGCATCTTCTCGGTGAGCCAATCGACCTTCCTTCGGGTGTTGATGAAGATGACTGCCTGCGTGATGGTCAGGGTCTCGTACAAGTCGCACAGTGTGTCCAGCTTCCACTCCTGGAGGGGGCGGGGCAGGGGCGGGGAGATCAGTCAGGGGCTGTACCAACGACACACCACCAGGCCCGCCCCCTGCCCCGGGGCCCCACCTCTCGTTCCACATTGATGTAGAACTGGCGGATACCCTCCAGGGTCAACTCCTCCTTCTTGACCAGAATTCGAATGGGGTCCCTCATGAACTTCTTGGTCACCTCGAGCACATCGGAAGGCATCGTAGCAGACAGCAAGACCACCTAAGGGAAAAGAGAAGCCTCGGGGTAGGGGCTCCTCCACGATGCCTGCCCCCTCGAACAGAAGCCGGCGTGTAAAGAGGCCCGAAGCGAGACACCCAGAATTCCTGTGGTTTCTCTGGCACTTGCCATCGCTGTCCTATCCCCCCGCAACCACACCAGTCTCTAACGGCTTGCTCACCTGGGTGTTACTGTTGAGCTTCTGGAATATGTCATAGATCTGGTCCTTGAACCCGCGGCTTAACATTTCGTCAGCTTCATCCAGCACAAACATCTTGATGTATTTGGGAGCTACGACAGGAAAAACAACAGGTAACAAAACTAGAGAACTATGAAGTCAGGCTTCAACCTCCAGAGAAAGAACGGACGAGAGGTCTGCTCTCAGAATACAAAGGCTGATCCTTTGCCTGGGACCCCCGTGCCAGGCCAGGCGACAGGCCTGGGAAGTAGAACACTCCCCGGGCTGAGAAGACAGGGGAGCCAAGCCAGGCTCAGATGACACGCATGGGTTCATCACAGAGCAACTCTTCCACTGGCGAAAACAGACGGCCTAGGGGACGAGGTTGTAGTCAGGTGAGGACAGGGAAGATGGGGAAGCAGAAAGCTGACACTCACATAGGTATCTCCGGTTAAGCATGTCGAACACACGTCCCGGGGTCCCCACAATGATATGGGGTGCTTCCATCTGAAGCTTCTGCACCTCGGCACGTACATTGGTCCCTCCGATGCAGGCATGGCAGGAGGCACCCATGTAATCTCCCAACGCCATGACCACCTTCTGTATCTGAACCCAGAGAAACAGAAGGACCCGTAGATTAGCTACAACCGTGCCAGACCCCACCGGAAAGGCTTCTCGTGTCATTCTCCAGATCACACATGTGCGGTTAAACTCACTTCCCGGACAAGAAACAAGCAGACAACTTCATTTAAGACCACGCTGCCAAGAAGGGGCAGGCACAGGATCTGAACTTGGTCTGGTCCCGAAGAATACAAGGATTCACAGTAACAGCCCTTTCTAAAAGCCAAGAGCGACCCATTCATTAGATCTCAAAGCGACCAGTTTAGTGAACGGAATGACCTCTACCTACGTCCTTCTGCCACTGAACCGATCGATGCTAGATGCCATGTTCGCTCTTGAAAAAAGTGTGTTCTGCCCATTAATGCCCTAAGGAATCCTTCCCCAACTTCTTTACTTACTTCACCTGTATCTACAAGTTAGCAGAGAATCATTAACTTCCCTACCGAGGGTTTAAAAATAATTAGGAAACGAACGTTTCTCATTCTCTCTCCTCCGAGACCCAAGAAAAGTCTATCGTTAGGATTTCATGTGCCCCAGGCATGAAACAGCTCTGGCCACCAACCCAGGCATCAAGCTAGGATGAACAAAGGACTGAGTCTGCTCTGCCCCAGGCTGATATAAGAGCAGCACCATCACCGAGGTGTCTCTTTGCCCATCACCAGGGGGTTTGTTCACACAACAGCCACCAAACTTGCTCAGCCAGCCGGGCTCCACCTAGCTGCCTTTTCCCTGGACTCAGGAAATGGGCGGAGGAAACGATGCTTATTGTTCGGTAGGAAAGGGCATATAATTAACCCCAGCCAGCCTTCAGAGATCCAGCAGGCCTTGGCTCATTTTCTTTAGATGTCTCTTCCCCAACGCTTCAGATCTTGAGGTGGTGGCCCTTAGGGAGCACACCTCGGACTTTTTGATTATGCTCCTTCCCAGAGCACCCTCCAGGGGAGGGAAGCCACACGCTCACCTGCTGAGCCAGCTCTCTAGTGGGCGCCAGGACCAAGGCCTGTGTGGCCTTGAGATCCAATTCAATCTGCTGCAGAATCGATATGGCAAAAGTGGCTGTTTTCCCAGTCCCAGACTGGGCTTGAGCGATCACATCATAACCTAAACAGAGTAGAAGAAACTTGACGTGAGAGTACGTACACGTTGCTATCAGGAGACACGTGTTCAAGGCTCTGGTCAATCAACAAGCAATTGATAAGAGCGAAGTGCCAAGCATTTAGTGCCTCCCAGACTTTACCGCGCCACAACCTAGTACCCAAATGGGAACATTTGGAAACCAAGTTAGATTATTCATTCATTTAGGACTGCCCAGAATTGACCTTTGACCTAAAATACCAATAGCAGTGAAAAACTGGCTAAAATACCACCTTACTGAAATCCAACCAGCCATCCATGTGTCCAGGGCATGAACCAGGCACCGGCACAAACCAAAAGCCAAGCTGGGATAAACAAGGAATTGCTTTGCCCCAGACTGATATGAGGCTGGCACCACTGACCAGGTGCCACTCCACCCAGGTCAGGGACCACGCAGAACTCATTCTGGGGCAGAGGGATCTTATCTTACCCTTGATACAAGGAAGAATGGCTCGCTGCTGGATGGCAGAAGGCTTCTCGAAACCATAGGCATAGATGCCCCGGAGAAGGGACTCGGAGAGGTTCATGTCGTCAAAGCTGTCAACGATCTCGTTCCAGTTACTCTGTGGGGCACAAAACAATTCAAATGGTAGAAGAGGCGACGCGGTGTCCCAGAAGCGGAGCAAACAGGACCAAAGCTCCAGAGCCCACAGCCTCTCCTCCCACCTGGGAAGCTGGTTGGCTCTACGCGGTCTGGGAAGTCACTCTAAGGGGCCGGTCCGCTTGTAAGAGGAGAGGCTGGACAGTATAGGAGAGAGGAGACTCAACACACAGGACGTGTTTCACACACACTCAGAGACCTACCGATTTAGAACAGATCACTGGAAAGGACTTAGGATGGGTAGGAGAAGTCATCTACTTGGGAGTTAGGCAAGCAGCTCTCCAGAAACCAGGAGACACTGCCTTTCCCAGGGACTAAAGACAGTGGCTCAGGAATGCAATCTCACCTCGATGACGCCTTCGGGCTCCATCCCATCGGGGCCATTGTCTCTGGATCTGTTGGTTTAAAGTAGAAGTAGGCCGACTGAGACGCCAGAAATCCCGACGGCCAGGCTCTTCCTACCAGCAACCGGCCTCGCACGATGCCATCAGCCCACGCTCCCCGACCCGACCCCATCCTGGTCCCCAGGAGACACAGTGCTCAATTTACAACCGAGTCAGGCCTCTGGCCCCCGCCACTGAGGGGACGACCCAACCCCCGAAGGCCCGGAGGCTGGAAGGAACGGCGTCGGCGCTTCCGGGGGACCGGAGGTGGTCCCCGCGGCCGGGCCCACGTGTCCGGGGCCGGGCCGCTCCGAGTCCGAGCGCGTGCACCTCCCACCGCGGCCCCGGCGCGCCGGAAGTCCCGCCCCGCACCTCCCCGATGCGAGGGTAGGACATCCCCTTCCCCCCACGTCACTCCGCCCGCGCCCTCCCCCACCCCCTCCAGCCCGTCTCCCCCCCTCGCGGTGCCCGGATGTGGGAGGCCGCGGGCGGTGGCGGCCTCGCGCACAATGAGCCCCAGCCGAGCTAGCGAAGGGGGAGATTGCACAACACTGAGAAGCGAAGCGGGCTGGGGGAGGGGAGCCCCTCGGGCCGCCATGTGCTCGCTCCCTCGACCACCCAGCGGCGT